AGGTAGTGGGAGGGGGTGGAAGGAGGGATAATTTAGATATTTAGATATTTTTGGTGATTTAAAAAGAAGACAAACCTTTATCTAAAAAAAAAAAAAAAAAAAAAAAAAAAAAAAAAAAAAAAAAAAAACATTTACTTCCACCCCTTTGCAAAAAATAATAATAATAATAATAATAATAATAACATTAATGATAAAAATGATAATATTTAAAAAAATGGCAGTCACATTCATCCACTCCCGAAATAATGAATACAAAATAATCCTATCACAATATTCCCCCAAAATCTCCCCTCTATTCACCAAATAACATTAAAAAGAAACAAAACAAACAACAATAAAACATAATAGATTGCAACAAACGAACATCGAAAAACCACTGCAAGCAATCTATTTATAATCCCTTGATCTGCCAAAAACCCTAAATGGAAAAAAAACATTTACTATAGGGACTCTGGGTCTTATGCACATAGGACCATTATGAATCTCAATCAGCTTTTAACATTGCGTTTCCATTTTTGACATTTTGGAAAATCGACCAAGTGGGTTTTTAGAAATGGGGGGGATAAATTATGATTATTTATGCGTCGTGAGAGCGTTTTGAGTGCAGAGAGATGCTTGTCATTTTTTTTTTTTTTTTTTTTTAGTATATGGGTTCGTATATGAATAAGATTTCTAATTCTACCCCCCCCCCCCCCAAGAAGAGAAAATGATACAAAATGTCAGATATTTAAATGGCAAAATAATAATGATAGAAAAAGAAAGAAAGAAAGAAAAAAAAATAGAAAAAAAAGAAAAGAAAAGAAGAAAAAATATATACATATATACATATACATACATATATATACATACATACATATATATATATAATATATATATATATATATATAACATTACCACACGCCAAGACTACACCCTCCCCCCCTAAAAAAAAACACCCATAACATACTCTCAAACACCCACCTCTTCACCCCACCCAACCCCCCCCCCCACCCCACCCCCACCACACCACCCCCAACCCAGCACTCACCTTGCCAGCAACCAGACTTCCTCCGTGCATCCGAGTGCCGAGAGGAGCACGGACTTCTCTGACGCCAAATTGGCACTCAGGTACATGTCCCAGGCGGCACCCCATTCCTCTTCGCCGCCGGCAGCGATGGCACTGCAGTACACCGTCGACTTCAGGTTCGGGGACACGTCACTGCAGGAGGAGGAGGAGGAGGAGGAGGGAAGAGGGTAGGGGGAGGAGAGGAGAGGAGAGGGGGAGGAGGGGATGGAGGAGGAGGATAGGGAAGGGAGGAGGAATGGAGGAGGGGGAATGGGAGGAGGGGGAGGAGGAGGGAGGATGAGGGGAGGGGAGGAGGAGGAGGGAGGAGGGTGGGGGGATGGAGGAGGGGAGGGGGAGGGAGGGGAGGAGAGGAGGGAGGAAGGAGGAGGAGGAAAGGAGGATGGGGGGGAGGGAGGAAGAAGGAGGGAGGAGGAGGAGGAGAGGAGGAGGGGAGGAGGAGGAGGAGATGGGGGATGGAGGAGGAGGAGGAGAAGGGATGGGTTGGTTGGTTGTGCATTATAGTTTTGATTTGATAACCAAACCCCATTATAAAAAACCCCCAAATAACAAAACCCCCTTATAACAAACACCCCATATAACGAACACCCGATATAACGAACCTTCCATTATTAATCCACTCCTCAAACTGGAGGACCGACCGATCCACGCAGTCCACATAGCCGAGGCCACAGGTCCACCTCAGAGCCATCGCGCGCTTGTACTGGTCCAGATGTGGTCCTTGAAGGTCGTCCTCGAAGCCGACCGAGTTGTACAGGGAATGAGCAGGTGAAGGAAGCGGTATTGCTGGAAGAGGGAGAAAGTAAGGGGGGGGGGTGAGATGGAAGTGGGGAGGACGAGGGTGAGGAGGTAGATGGGCGAGGGGGGAGTGAGAGGAAGGTGGGGTAAGGGTAGGGGGGTAAGAGGGGGGTGGCAAGGTGTGAGGGGAAGGGTGAGGGGTTGAATGGAGCTGGGAGAGGATGAGAGGGGGAGAGCGAGGTGGGTGAGGGGGGGGAAGAGGGGGGTGAGATGGAGGGTGGTGAGGGGAGGGGGAAGGGGGGTGAGATGGAAGGAGGAGTGGAGGGAAGGAGAGGCGGGGTGAGATGGAGGGTGGATGAGATGGAAGATGGGTGAGGAGTGAGAGCGAGGATGAGATGGAAGGGGGTAAGGGGGAGGTGAGGATGTAAGGTGGTAAGGTGAGGGGTGGTATGGGGGGCTGAGATGGGGGGGTAAGGTGGGGGAGAGCGGAGGGTAGATGGAGGTGGTGAGTGGAGGAGGAGGATGACTGAGTGAGGGCGAGGTACGGGAGGGGGAGGGAGGAGGACGAAAGAGGAAGAGAAGGATAAGAAAAGGAAAGTGAAGTACTGAGTCGAGAGAGGGAAGGGAGTGAACGAGGAAGAGGTATAAAGAGAGGAGTGAGATGGAGAAGAAGGAGAGGAGGAAGGAGAAGCGAAGAGA